AAAGCCTAAGAACCCCCCGCCGCCCCATAGCCTTCAAGAGACTGTAGGGCAAGTGCTGTTAGCGAGCACCTATGAAGGCTAGCACGGTGCACAAATGGGTGGGTGGCCATCACCACGTCCGGCCGCCTTTGTCTCCCCAGTGCTGATGCTCACACACCGCACCAGGCACTCAAGACGCAATCGACCTCGGTGAGTCGCCGTTTGCCGTGCGTGGGAATCGAACTTGGGTCAGTGGGTTCATAACAGTTGCGCTAACCACTGCGCCACCGTTCCCCACACCAAGCACATCACCAACTCCATCACCAACTCCATCACCAACTCCATCACCAACTCCATCGCCCACATCACCACCACGACCGCCTGCAGCCTTTTCTACCATCACCACTCGCTCGTCAGTTGCTCTTAAATGAACACGGACAGAGTCGGCCTCGGCATAGTAACGTGCAGGCGGTGGCTTCTGCCAAAGTTTATTTCTGATTAAAGCACAATCACGTGACACGGATACAGGGCACACAGCAGTAGCGGGCGGGTGGGTGGGGGCGGGATGGGATGATGGGGAGATGCGTGGAGGATCAATCGGAGATATAAGAGGGATCAGCAGCTCAAGAGGGGATATAGGGGATAGAGGGGATAGGGGATAAAGAGAATAGTGGGGGAATTAGAAGATGCGGGGTGGGGGGGGGGGATCGACAGTAAGACTAGGGAACCAGAGGGAGGACGTGGCTCAATATGAGATAGGGGGGTTAAATAGGAAATGGGATCAGGATGATACAAAATGATCAGGAGACCGAGTTCAAGAGAACACAAGGGGGTCAAACAAGATACAGTGGGTGGGGGGGGGGGGGGGGGGTGAATCAACCGAATATATCGGGGGTTTAAGAGGAGTTTGGGATATCGAGAATTGCGGGAACCAGTAGAGGATGAAAGGAATGCAAAGGATTCAAGGGGAGATTTGGTGATCGCGAGATGTCAAGGGGATCGATGCGGAGACGGAGGTTCAAAGAAGACAGGGGAATCAACAGATATCCACACACGAGGATCAAATCAAACCGGTCACCTCGGCCATGAAGGGGGGGGGGGGGGGGGCACCTCGCCCCCTCCCCCTCCATCCCTCCCTCGGGGGGAGGGGCTCCATTCGAGTCCCCGTCCCAACCCTCCATCCCGGAACCCTCGTCCGAGCGGGTCGTCCGGGTGTCAGTGGCGCGCGGTGAATAAATTAAATAAATAGGAGCCAGCGACTCCCACCTCCCACCGAATGGATAATTCTCAAGGCTCCCCCTCCCTCCAAATTTAATTCCTATTTGCCATCATCTCCCGCTTTCATTCCTGTCTGCACTCCATCTCCCGCTTTCATTCCTATCTGGCCTCTATCCCACCTTCATTCCTGTCTGCACTCCATCTCCCGCTTTCATTCCTATCTGGCCTCATCTCCCACCTGCACTCCTGTCTGCACTCCATCTCCCGCTTTCATTCCCACCTCCATTCATCTCCCGCTTTCATTCCCATCTCCAATCATCTCCCACTTTCATTCTATCTCCTATCATCTCCCGCTTTCATTCCTATCTGGCCTAATCTCCCACCTTCACTTCTGTCTGCACTCCATCTCCCGCTTTCATTCCCATCTCCAATCATCTCCCACTTTCATTCTATCTCCTATCATCTCCCGCTTTCATTCCTATCTGGCCTCTATCCCACCTTCATTCCTGTCTGCACTCCATCTCCCGCTTTCATTCCCATCTCCAATCATCTCCCACTTCCATTCTATCTCCTATCATCTCCCGCTTTCATTCCTATCTGGCCTCATCTCCCACCTTCACTCCTGTCTGCACTCCATCTCCCGCTTTCATTCCCATCTCCAATCATCTCCCGCTTTCATTCCTATCTGGCCTCATCTCCCACCTTCATTCCTGTCTGCACTCCATCTCCCGCTTTCATTCCTATCTGCACTCATCTCCAGTTGTAATTCCTATCTGGACTCATCTCCCAGCTGCTAGCATATACAGCACTTGTCTTCCGCTACCACTCGTTTCTCCACTACGACATTTCCGTCTCGGCACCGTCCTACACTCTCATCTCGTCTCCCTCCCATGAAATGTGTCATCATCCTGCACCTGCTCCGATCGCCTCCCAGCTTACCGAGTATCGGACGACTCGTTTCCATGGACCGCTAACTCGAGGGGGAACTCAAAAGTGCGCTTGAGTTCGACTCGTGATGACCAACTCGTGAGAGTTACAACAGATAAAAAGGTGGCGTTTCCCACGACCTTCCAAGTAATTAAGAGAATTTCCGCGCGAGTCGGATGGGCAGGTCTCTGGAATCCCAACAAAGTTGTTCGTACACGTAAATACAAAATAACGGCACCACCGTCGCATTGCATTTAATTTCGCATCGCAGTCTAAATTCCGGCCGTGAGAATTAAAATAACGGGTTTTGACTGGTGGCACGAGAAGAACCTCACTCTCATATGGCAGAACGGTTGGCGGGAGCGCAGCCCTCGACTGCGTGCTTGTACCGGACGTTTGAAAAAGAGCTTCGTAGCTCATCGGATTCCTCCAGTCTACACAAAGATGGTGATTCTGATGTGTGAACCAGGGTTCACTTAAAGACGACGAGATCCCGGAGACGAGCTCTGTGATATCCTGCTTCCCAGGAGAGGTTGCGCTGCTCTCCCGAGACCTCCCAAAGGATTCTCGGTCCCGTGACGCGGAACCAAATATCACAATCGGGATAAAATTGGAAACGGTGTGCGTATAGCAGAGGTCGCAACCGGGTACCCGATACCCGTACCCTACCCAATACCCGGCTACCCGTACCCGGCCGGTAACGGGTATGGGTAGCCGTTTGCGACCCTGGTGCGGCCGGGTACGGGTAGGCCGTGAGTCACTGGTGAGTCACCGTTTGTCACTCATTTCCCAACGTCTTGTCTCTTCTCCAAATTCAAGTTCCTAGAATCAACCCACCCGCACCTGCAACATTGCTTCATCCCAGAGGTCGCAATCAAGTACCCGATACCCCCCGGCCGGGTACGGGTAGGGTACGGGTACGGCCGGGTACGGGTACCCGTTTGCGACCCTGGTGCGGCCGGGTACGGGTAAGGAATCAAAACCCGTTTGCGACCTCTGGCGTATAGTGGGGGGCCAGGTGACGGCGTGGGCGGGAATTGGAGTTACGTGGTTCATGGAAACGCTGCACAATTCTCATCTCTTTTAGAGGCTCCAGGTGGAGCCCTCTTGCTGGGATCTGAAACACTGGACCCTCCTGATATGTGTGTGTGCACGTGTGGTTTACATGCCCGTGTACACGTTCCCACGCGTCTTCCTGCGTGCACGCATGTTCGTACGTGTGTGCACGTTTGTACACATTCGTACGCGTGTGTACATGCATGTGCGCATGTGTGCGCGTGTATAAATGTTTGTACGTGTTGGCACAGTAGAGGGCACAGGTGGTGTATCGGTCAGCCATCTCAGTCAGTCGACCCATGGCACCACCTGGGTCTGTCCCGTGACCTCCAGCCAGCGGGCGTTCGACACTTCACGTGGCCTTAACGTGCACATGGCCTGGCACAAGCGCCGTGGTGATGTCACCGCCACTTAGTGACGAATGGCGGTTGTTGTACGTGTGTACATGTCTTCATGTGTGTGCAAACGTTTGTATGTATGTGCACTTGGGGACGAGTACATCTTCACATGTGTACGATGTTTGTACGTCTGTGTGTCCATGCGTACATGTTCTCACAAGGGTGTGTGTGTGTGTGTACTTGTGTATATACATATATGCACACACTTATGAGTTGCGTAGGTATGTATGCATGCTTGTGTGTTTATGTGTGGGTGTATGTCTGTGTATGGCTGAATAGCACCAGTGTGTGTGTGTGTGTAAACATACACACGTGGATATAGAACACGTGAGTGTACGTGTGTGTAAGTGGGAAGGGGTGGCACAGTGATTCGCGCAGTGTGCGACAAATCCGGCGACCCAAATTCGTTTCCCCGCTCGTGACCAATAAGTAGTGAATGTTTTAACTGGTCCTGGGCCTCCCCTAGGTCGACTCGGCCTTAAACGAGTACCTGGTGCCACAGTGTACACATCCGTAATGGGGAGGTAAAGTTGGCCGGGCGTGGTGCTGGCCACACACCCCCTTGCACACTGTGACGGCCTTGATAAGTGCTCGCTAACAGCACTTGCCCCTAAAGTGTATTTTAAGGCTACACGGGGGATCTTTCTATTTGTAGTGTCTCTATACATCACGTGTGTTGAAAATTTAATAGTCGTGCAAATACGCAACCACATCCCCTCTGGGGGGGGGGGTCGATAAAATCAGTACCACTTTGTGGGGAAGTCAACAGTGGTTGCCCCTTTACAGATACAGACGCCCCCGCCATAGGAATGTGGAATTCCCCCACTGGCTCTGCAGGGCTACTATAAACAGGAGGATACGCACACTGGCCAGGCTGTGCGAAGAAGAAGACTCGTGGATCGTCACGACCCCGGGGGGGGGGGGGGGGGGGGGGGGTCTGGGTTCAACTCAACAATCGAGATTTGTGGTCTCATTCCCGCAGTCGAGCGAGATAACAAAAAAGTTATCGTTTTCCCCCCCCATCTCATTCGCATCGCTTTGTTCGCTCCGTAAAGTCTGCCTATCATGTGTTCACAGCGGCATGGCGATTGCACGTCGGTCGTATTCATCCGTAAAACATTGGGGTTCTGCTGCCAGCGATTCGATGCTTGCTTGTATCTATCGTGAGTGTAAGAATGTATTTCACTTTCACGAATTTTTGCATTGCCACATGCAGAGTGCATGTGTACAATGTGTGTATGTCTCCTTGGTTCTCTCGGTAAAGTCACGTAGAATAAAAATTATAAAATAATAAAAATAAAACATAATAAAATAATTCTCACGACGTTTCAGCCACAACGCAAGCAGCCGTCCTCAGGTGGAGAACAGGTCACTGCTTGCCTGAGGAGGGCTGCTTGCGTTGTGGCCGAAACGTCATGAGAATAATTTTATTATGTTTTATTTTTATTATTTTATTATTTCCATTCTACGTGACTTTACCGAAAGAACCAAGAAGATGAATCCCTGCAGTCACGAAAGCTTTAAATCGAAATGTGTGTATGTGTAGTTCGTATATACACCACACGTGTGTGTGTGTACTTGTGCATGTAGTCGCAGTGTTTACGCGTGTGCGAATAGTGTGTACGTTTTACACCACGTTTGTGTGTGTGTAGTATCGTATTCTATGGTTATTTCGGGAAAGTCACGTAGTGTATAATATCAGTTGTGTATAATACTTGTTTGTGTAAACATTGTGTTGGCGTTTATTGAGTGCGTATATATGTGTGTGTGTGAATAATTGTGTATACAACTGTACCAATAGCACCCGTGTGTGTGTGTGTGGAGCAGTGGCAAAGTGGTTAGCACACTGCGCTACAAACCCAGCACCCTCACCTCGATTCCTAGCCACTGCTAACCCCAGTGGCGAGCAATATATGTACCGGTCCTGGGCTCCTCCCCTCTAGGTCCACTCAGCCTTAAACGAGTACCCAGTGCAGTGTTGTAAACATCAGCACTGTAGAGACAAAGGTGGCTACGCGTGGTTCTGGCCACACCACCCGCTAAGGGCGCTTGCCCGATATGGGACAAGTGCCGAGTCTATAGTGTGTATGTGTGTACACATTACGTAGCGCGCACGTGCGTGTATTTTTACGCGTGCTTGTGTATGTACATTTGTATATAGTACCTGCGTACGTGTGTACCTGCGAGGCGTGTGTGTGTGTAGTTGCACCGACAGCCCACATCACACACCCCCTTCTCCGAGACTCCATCGGGGGACCCAGGGGTCGCGTTACACACCCACTCACTCACTCAGGGGGTCCAGGCAGGGCCAGACCCCGCCCCCCATCCCACCCCACGTGATACACGTTCAGGGGCGGGGGGCTATGAGGACCCACGTAGTCCGATGGGGGTTCTCGACAGGGTCCCATCAGCTCCCCTACGTTGTTGCCACTGGGGCCGTGTCACAGGGTACCGCGGGGTTCAGGGCCGAACAGCAGCCCTCGCTGTGGTCCTGTGTGCACACACACACGCGCACGCGCACACACGCGCACAGCTGTACTTCATAGAGTGCCGGGTAGAGCAGTCGGGGTGATTCATGATCCAGCACTCATGGATTCACTCCAGTCACTCGCTCGCTGGTGGCCCAGGTCGCCTCCGTATTACTCTTCTATCGCTGCTGCTCTGGTGGTTGGTTACTGTTCCCGTGACCTGTACTCATTGACCCCCCCTCCGCCCGAGTTGAGGACTCGGTCCTGATCCACTCACCCCACTTGGTCACCCACTCGCTCACCCACTTGGTCACCCACTTGGTCACCCACTTGGTCACCCACGCGCTCACCCACTCGCTCACCACCCCATAAGTTACAACAACTTTTCTCTGTTTCTTCCCTTGCACTGCTCCATTCTAGAATTGCCTCTTCCCACGGCGTCATCTCTTTATCCCCAAGCTCTTACGACAACAACCATTCCGAATTCAAGCAACACGTTACGCTCTCGTCGTATACAGCTTCCGCAGTGCTGGTTGTAGCTGGCCGCTTGGTGTTTTTGGCCCTTTGGGCGCTGCGCTCAGCAGCTGTTTAAAAAATAAAACAACAACCGCCATTCGCCACTAAGTGGCGGTGACGTCACCACGACGCTTGTGACAGGCCAAGTGCACCTTGAGGCCACGTGAAGTTTCGATTTAAAGCTTTCGTGACTGCAGGGATTCATCTTCTTGGTTCTTTCGGTAAAGTCACGTAGAAGGGAAGTAATAAAGTAAAAAAAATAAAACATAATAAAATTATTCTCACGACGTTTCGGCCACAACGCAAGCAGCCGTCTTCAGGTGGAGAACAGGTCGTGACTTTACCGAAAGAACCAAGAAGATGAAGCCACGTGAAGTGTCGAATACCCGCTGGCAGGAGGTCACGGGGCAGACCCAGGTGCCACGGGTCGACTGACCGAAATAAAACAACACCTACACACATACATCCTGCACGCATGGGCACACCCAGCGTATACACACACACATGTACAGGAAACACATGGTGCATGTCATGTGCGTGTGTGTGCGTGGTGTACATTGAGGACACATGGAGGGTAGTGTGTGTGTGTGGTGGGGGGGGGGGGGCGTGTGGGTGCATGCGTCATGCATCGCTTATGAAGAGTAATGCCTCGTTGAGTAAGAAAAATTCGAGCAAACACAGAGAAGGCAGCAGTCGCTGATGGGCAGAGATGGAATCAAACAGAGAGAACGACAGGCAGCCAGGCAGCCAGTCAGCCAGGCGGCCAGACGACAGGCAGATAGCCAAGCCAGACAGAATGAATAACAGGCAGAGAGCCAGACTTACTGACTGAAAGTCAGACAGGCAGACAGGGTGACTGACTGAGAGCCAGACAGACAGACAGGGTGACTGACTGAGAGCCAGACAGACAGACAGGGTGACTGACTGAGAGCCAGACAGGCAGACAGAACGACTGACTGAAAGCCAGACAGGCAGACAGAACGACTGACTGAAAGCCAGACAGGCAGACAGAACTGACTGACTGAGAGCCGGACAGGCAGACAGAATGACTGACTGAGAGCCAGACAGGCAGACAGGGTGACTGACTGAGAGCCAGACAGGCGGGCAGGATGAGACAGACAGACAGGCAAAGCTGGTCTTGCACTCAAGCCAAACACTGTTTCCGATGCCAATGGCGGGCAGGCCCTGTGGGATTTCAAATTCCTTGAGGTTGTCGGGGGGGGGAAGGGGGGGGGTGCGGGGTGCGGGGCGGGGGCACCGTGTCAGACAAGCAGTGGGGGGGGGGGGGGGGCAGGGGGTGTCAGATGAGCACCAATAAAGCAGGGGTCAAGTAGACGGCAGGTGGAGCCAGACAGCGATGGGAAGTGGGGGCTCGTGGTGGGGGCAGCCATGGGGGGTGGGGAGGGGTCGCGGGGCTTGAACTCACGGGGCAGCCGGGGCCTACGGGGTCCAGGGGCCGCGGGGGCCACCGCGCCTCTGAGGGCGTGGGGTTAGGGGTTAGAGGTGGACGCAGGGTTAGAACCGCACTCCCTCGACCTTTGACCGAGCCTCCTCCTCGCCCGAGGTCGACTCTGGCCTTGAATGAGTAGCGACTGCGTTGCGTGACCGTTAAGTCGGCGCTCTCTAGCAGTGGAAATGTTGTGCGCGCGCGTGTGCCTGGGCGTGCGCGTGCACGTGGACAACGGTGTTTCTGGGTGTGTGTCTGTGTGTCTGTGTGAGCGGGAGTGTATAGCGGTTAGCGACCCGAGTTCGATTCCCACTCACGGCCTCCCCTAGGTCGACTCGGCCTCAAATGAGTACCTGGTGTGTAAACATTCACCAGGCGTGATGCTGGCCACCCGTCTCCCCCCCCGTGTGCCATGCCGGCCGTCATAGGTGCTCGCTAACAGCACTTGCCACAACAGTCTGTTGAGGCTATACGGGGGTCTTTGTCTTTGGCGTTTGAGTGCGCCCCTGTGCATCCATGTGCACCTGCGTGCTTACACATGTGTGCACCTGTTTGTGTACATGTGTACCTGTGTCTGTGATAGTTGTTTTTGTTACGAGTTCTGCATTGCTCTACTTGACTTAATTTGTTTGGCTTCATCCACTTTGCGTGACCCAGGTCACTCTTGCAAACGAGGCTCATCATCCTGATCTTTCCGAGTTCTCATTTAGTGACACAAAATGAACTCGTCTGTGTGTCTATAAAAGTGTCTGTGTGTACCTGTGTACATCTAGGAGTGTGTTTACGAGTGTCTCCCTGTTTGCTTGTGTTCTCACGAGTGTCATTCCATGTACCACCATCATCACCACCACCACCACGCACCTCATTTCCTCCAGCTGCCCGCTCCTGCTCCCCGCTCTCTGCTCCCTTCCTCGCAGCGTCTCCGTTCCCCTCCGCTCCGCACTCGGCGTCCAGCGAATCGCAGCTCCTGCGAAGCTCCGTGCTCTGGGCCCCGACACTCAGCCTGGCGCCCGCGCGCTGCTCGCCGCCACCGCGAGCAGCGGCGGCCTTGACGGTGCCAGCGGCAGGCGGCACCGGCACCGTCCCATCCACGCCGGGCCTGGGGCTCGGCGAGCGCTCCCTGGCGGCGGCTGCCACCGCCATCGCCGGCGTTGGTACGGCGAGCGTGAGCGCGGCCGCTCGGGGCGGCGGCACCAGTGGCGGCAGCGGCGGGTACCGGCGGCGGCGTCGGGGACGTCGCCACGGAGAAACCGAGGATGCCCAAGAGGCCGCCGGGCCGATCGTCCCCGGCGACGCGCGTGACGGGCGAGTCGCGCGTCGTGGTGGAGCGGGCCCACGGCGAGAGGCCGCTGACGCCGGCCGCGCCGCCGCCTGCGGTCCCCGGCCTCGCGTCGAGCCTCCCGGACGACCCCCCGCCGCCCGGCGAGCGGCGCAGCGAGCGCGGGGAGGCGCCGGCCAGGCCGCGGGCGGCCGCGCCGGCGGTCCCCGACGACGGTCGATCGGCGCGGGACGAGGAGAACGAGGCGGAGGAGGCGGTGGAGAGCGGGCGGGCGTGCAGGGCCCCGCGCGACGGGGACGCCGCCGGGGTCGAGCCGGCGCTGCCCCGGGGGGTCGCGGTCGACGGGCCGCGCCGGGGTGCCCAGGCCGAGGCGGAGGTTTGCGTGGACACGGAGTGGCGGGCAGGAGGGCCGCCGCCGGGATTGACGACGGTGCCGACGTCGGCGCCGTTGGTGCCGTCGGCGTGGCCGTCCACCTGCGTGGCGACGGAGGAGGAGGAGGAGAGGCGAGCGGTGGCGCGGGACGCGACGCGGCGCTTCATGTCGTCCGAGAGGTTGGTGGCGCCGGCGGGGTCCACTCTTGGCCCCACGGGTGCCTGCGCCAAGCCGAGCGTCATCCGGGGGTGGGGGGGGGCCATGATGGTATCATCGTCGTCAGCAGGCCTGATATTATCGCTGCATCGCACGGTCCAGCGATGCAGCGATCTATCCCTGCTCGTGCACACAGAAAGCCGATTTTATCGTTCCATCTCTGCGACGGCCATCTACTCAGTTTTGTTTGGCCGCTATTCCATTGTTGGTCTCGACCGCCAATAGATCATCCCTTCTAGCCACCTGCTTACTTTTCATCACAGTGAAATGTCGTCTGTAAATAGTTGAGGTTTATTTTTTTTTATGCGTTCCTCTTTCTGTCTCGGCGTAATTCCACGCTTCTCTGCGCAACTTCCAGCTTTGGCTTGCCATTCTCGGCTTCGGGCACCCGTTTTGGGGTTTGTTACGGACATGCCCGTGCCGGTCTGATTGCAAGTCTGTCGTCTGTGCGCGCGCACATGCGTACGTCACAGACACAAGCTCTGCATCCCGAGCCACGCACGGAAGGCCAAGCAGCAGCTCACCCGCATTCGTCTAAGCAAGCCCGACGGCGGCCGATGAGACACGCAAATGTTGAAACCGGTTCAGGAGTTTTGGCTCCGTTCACCAATTGCCGCTGAAGTTAAGCACTTTCTCAGAAGGCCACGATGCGGCTGATGGAATGTGTAAACAACAAACGTTTTTTTTTGTAATTTTGCACGTGCACAAACCAACATGTGAAGGATGCGTAATAAGTCTGCGTGTTTTTTGTGTTGCTGATATTCCTCCACGACCATACTCAACGGTTATCACGCAGCGAGCGTGCGAGTCGATGACCGGTGTCTTAGCCGCATCGGGCTCATTGGTTCAAATCCATTCTTAAAAGTTCACGACCGCACGTGCAACAGCATCGAACGCTGAGACGGGCGACGGGTGCCGCAGGCTGCCGTGCGACCACTCTGACCCGTCGTGGTGAAGTATGGTCAAATAATTCTAGATTTGAAGCTTTCGTGACTGCAAGGATTCATATTCTTAGGTTTTTTTCGGTAAAGTCACGTCGGTAAAAAATTTTCATTAATAAAAGTAAAATAAAAATCACGACGTTTCGGAGGCAACACAAGCTTCCTACTTCAGGTGGAACCGTCACAGCACGATAGCTGTATACAGCTGAAGACGGAGGCTTGTGTTGCCTCCGAAACGTCGCGATTTTTATTTTATTTTAATTTTACTTTTATTAATTATTTTTTTTTACCTACGTGACTTTACCGAAAAAACCTAAGAATATGGTCAACTAGCGCCCCCCGCCCACCCCGGCCAATGACTGCACGCTGTGGGGAGAAGTCCTCGCCCAGCAGTGAACAGACCACGTACGACAGAGACACCCCCAACCCACCTCGTTTCGACGTCCCCTCCACACCACCCTCCTCTCCTGGCCTTCCTCCTCCTCCTTCTCCCTCTCCCCCCCCACCACCTCGTCGTCGTCCTCGTCCTTCTCCGTGTTCGAGGCTCTCCACCCCCTCCCCCTCCCCCTGCGAGGCTCGCCCGGGGCCCCCGCCTCCTGGGGGGGCCCCCCCCACCCCCGCGGGGGGCACCCCTCCCCCCAGGGCGACGAGAACTCGCGCACGAAGCGCACGTCGTCCGGGGAGAGGGGGGGCGGCGGCGGCGGCGACGGGGGAGGGGAAGGGCTGGGGGGCCCCCCGTGGAGGGGGTCGTGGGGGGTCTCCGCCATGCCCCCCGCGGGGAGGAACGGGGAGCTCTCCATGAGGCGGCGGAACTCGGACATGGAGGAGACGGAGCGGGCCCTGTCGGAGCCGGGCGGGGGGCAGGGAGGTCAAGAGGTCATGAACAGAGGTCATGGGGAGGAGGGGGTCAGGGTTAGGTCATGAGCACAGAGGTCAGGTTGGAGAGTCTGGGAATCGGTACTGATTATGGTTGGGGCCAAGGCAAGATTCAAGGTTATGGTCAGACGTATGGTTAGGATTAGAGTTTCTGATTTGGGAAAGGGTTACAGCTATGGCTGGGGTTGCAGTTTTATGGTCACGGATAAGGTTTTGGTAGGAGCCAGGGTTAAGGATAGCATGTGTGTGTGTGCATATGTGTGCGTGTTTGTGTATGCGTGTATGTGTGTGCATGTAGATGTGTGTGTTTGCGTGCTTATGTGTGTGCGTGCGACGGCAGTGGGCATGCCCCACCGTCTCAGTCCGCTGCCCTGCTCCTCCGCCTCCTCCAGGTCTCGCCGTACCACATCCCCAACCTCGGGCCACAGGGACGCACAGCCACACTCGCACTGCAGCGGGAGGGAGAAGCACACACAAAGGACAAAGATCACCAGTATAGCCTTCGTCTGACTTTTGGGGAAAATGTGCTGTTGGGCGAGCACCTAATGACGGCTGGCATGGTGCGCGAGGGGGTGGGTAGCCAGCTCCACACCCGTCCACCTTTGTTTTCCCCCCGCCCCCCCCCCCAATACTAATGTTTACACATCGCACCAGGTATTCATCTGAGGTTGTGTTGACCTCGGGGAGGGGCCCTGCATCACCACCACACAACAACGATGAGTCCAAGGGGCGGCCAGTATATGCGCGCGTGCGGTGTGCGGTGTGCGCGTGGCGGCGTGTGCGTGTGCGGTGTGCGGTGTGCGCGTGGCGGTGTAGGCGTGGCGTCACCTGTGCGAGGCAGGACAGGAGGCGTCTGCGCTCCGTCTCCCAGGACGTGCTGCGCTCGTGGGCGGTGGCGGTGCGGCGCTCGCGACTCCTCAGCTCCGCCAGCAGCGACTCCACCAGCGCGTGACACGCAGCCTGCGGCGCACGCACGCACACACACACGCACGCACGCACGCACACACGCACACGGACAACGATCATCTGTGTAGTCTTCACAGACTGTTGGGGCAAGTGCTGTTAGCGAGCACGTGAAGGCCCAGCACGGCGCACTAGGGTCTGCACCACGCCCGGCCACCTTTGTCTCCCTAGTGGCGATGCTTACACATCGCACCAGGGGCTTACATACACAGACACTCGAGAAAACATATAGATCCCCCGTGTAGCCTCAGAGGCGTAGCTAAGGGGGGGCAGGGGGTACATGTGTCCCCGGGCGCCAAGGTAAAAGGGCGCCAAAATTAGGCTTACAACGTTACATTAGAACTTATTGCGGCGGGCGCGGCAGCCTGAAACGACTGCACAAATCTACACCTCAACCTAAAAGTTTATATATCCCGCCACACACAGCCTACCAGGGGCGGTTTCTTCATTAGGGCGATTGGGCGACGCACCACCAATGTCATTCAACCACAGAGTCACGCTCGCCGTCACTGCAGCCTCTGGATATAGTCCAATCAGCGTCATGTCACGTTCTGTGGAGTACCGCCTCTTTTTGGGCGATATCACTCCGGCTGAGAATCGCCCCGAGTGGCCCCATAGACTTACATTCAAAGATGTTTTTTTTCGACCGGGGGGCGCTGCAATGCATTCTCTATGGCTTCTGGGAGGGCTCGCCCTAACGTGCTTACGTCATCATACGTAAGCACGTTTCATCCAACAATATAATTTGTGGCCACCTAATGGAATCTTTAATAAAAGAAACTTGAGTGGTTTGTTTTAATAGTGAGTATAGAAACAAACAAGATGTATTGTAAGAGTCACTTTATTTTTCATTAATATTAAAGAAGTGAAGTTGCCTTTACATGCTTAAGCTGTTAATTTATCCATTGCATGGGTGGACCTTATCCTTATCAATCATCCAGACATTTGCCCCCCCTGAGAGATATTGCAGGAGCCGCCACTGCAGCCTACATGTCATGTAATTACATTTTGGTATGCGATTAAACGGGGGGGGGGGCGCCAATTTTATAGTTCGTCCCCGGGCGCAAAATATTCTAACTACGCCTCTGTGTAGCCTACACAGGTTGTTGGGGCGAGTTCTGGTAGCGGGCAAATCTACGAAGACCAGTACGGTGCCTGAGCGGCTGGTGGAGCCAGGAGCACGCCCGGGCCACCTTTATCTCCATGGCGCTGACGTTCACCACATCGCACCAGCAACTCATTTCAAGTCAACGAAGGGGAGGTCCCATTGCCGGTTCAGATGTTCGCCACTGATGTTGGCTGTGCGCGGGATTCGAACTTGAGTAGGGGCCTGGCTCGTAGCGCAGTGTGCTAACCGCTGTGCCACCGCTCCTCGTTCCCACTCAGTAGCGGCGACGTCACCACGGCGCTTGTACATACATGCACACACGGATAAAAAGATCCCCCGTAAAGCCTTAACAGACTGTAGGGGCAAGTGCTGTTAGCGAGCACCTATGAAGGCCGGAACGGTACACGAGGGGGTGGGTGGCCAGCACTACGCCCGACCGCCTTTGTCTCCCTAGCGGCGATGTTTACACTCCGCACCAGGTACTCATTTGAGGCTGAGTCGACCTAGGGGAGGCCCAGGACCGGTTCAGATAATCGTCACTGGTGTTTGCCATGAGCGGGAATCGAACCCGGGTCGCCAAGTTCGTAGTGCAGCGCGCTAACCACTACACTACCGCTCCCCATTTGTACATACATACACACGTACACACAAACACACATGGCTGCAGACAACCACCAGTGTGGGGCATGCAGCCTGTGGCACACACCAGCAGTAGCACGAGCCAGACGTTTGCCGGGTTACACCTTGACCTTGCACACAACGTGAGAGTTGTGCGAGAGCCTGGATATCTGTGGGTGTGCGCGAGTTTACGATAGTGTATGCACACTTCAAAATGGGACCTTTTTGCTCGTATCAAAGTGTGAAAAAATAAGAATAGGTATTACCCTTTCTGGAAATAAAAGTGTGAACACTTTGTGGGTGAGTGCCAGTGAGTATGTGCGAGTGAGTGTGGGCGGTAGGGCACTGGTTAGCGCGCTGCGCTAAAAACCCGGCGACCAGAGTTCGATTCCCGCTGATGGCCAACACCAGTGACGATTATCTGAACCAGTCCTGCGCCTCCCCTAGGTCGACTCAGCCTTAAATGAGTACCTGGTGCGGTGTGTAAACATCGCCACTGGCGAGCCAAAGGCGGCCGGGCGTGGTGCTGGTCACCCACCCCCCTCGTGTGCCGTGCCGGCCTTCATAGGTGCTCCTCGCTAACAGTGCTTGCTCCAACAGTCTGTTAAGGCTATACGGGGGATCTTTGTTCCCAATATTAGTGCTGTTGGTTGTGGTCCTGTTAGTCTGTGTTTGTGTTGTTGGTTGCGTGGTTCTGTTAGTCAGTGTGTGTTGTTGGTTGTGATTCTAATGTTAGTCTGTGTTTGTGTTGTTGGTTGTGGTTCTAATGTGAGTGTGCGTGTACACACCTGTGAGTGAGTGTGCGTGTACACACCTGCGAGCTCTCGCTCAGGGAGTGAACTCCGCTGTCCTCCGTGCCAGGGGAGTCGTCCGATCGGTCCTCGCCGCCTTCCCCGTCCCCCCGGCTCAACTCCACCTGCTCAGGGTGGAGTGAGACCAGAGCCGGCCCAGCCACTAAGCGACCCTTGCATTTGCAAAGGGCCCCGTGGCCAGCAGAGGGCCCCCTAGAGTCACTGCTAGCTCGTGGGTGAAAAAAATCATACATCAAAGGGGCCTCCAACCAAATTTTGCTTAGGGCCCCCAAAGGTCTAAGGCCGGTTCTGAGTGAGACGACTGACACGGACTTCCCTGTCACCCGCAGACTGCACTCTCACGGGGCCTCCACACAACGGCACGCAGACCGGTCCCTCTCTCTCTATTTGGCAGTGTTCTTCACTCATTTTCAGAGGGGCGCCGTTCCCGCCGATAAGACATCACCAGTGTGTGACAGCACGATGATGACGGGGGGTGTTTTCACATTTGTGAATTATTGGGGTGGGGAGGGGGTGAACGTCAGGGGTTGCACTCAAGGCGAACAGAGGCCGCCATTGGCCCACGGGCCTTGTCCATGATGGGGTTTCTCTCGACAATGACAGACAGACCGGTCTCTATATTTGGTCTCTAGACAAATAGATAGACTCGTCTCTGTGGGGGTCTCTAGACAATGACAGGCAGAAGACCGGTTTATGATGACGACCACGGATGGTCCGGAAGGCCGTGGGGGAAGTGGTCCTTGGAACTGTCACAAAGTTCTACATATTAACAGTCATTTAAAAATTTGACAAAAAAATTTTTAGTTGCATGCTTAGTGGCCCGCAAACATTCTTTGAGGGTCGATAGTTGCCGCACGGGTCCCGAAACGTTGGAAACTACAACTCTAGACAACGGAAGATGAGATGGAGCAGTCTCCAAGGGGCCTGTTGGTTGATTGGGGGGGGGGGGTGTCTCGTAAAGGGTACCTGGGCCCTGGGGCCCTGCCCGTTGGCGACGTTGCCTCTGCGTGGGCCCAGCAGCTGCTTGAGCTGCAGGAGCAGCTCTCGGGCCCCGAGTTCCCGGCTGGAGTGGTCCCCCCCCTCCTCCTCCTCCTCCCCCTCGTTGTCGTCGTCGTCGCCGCTGTCGTCACCGCCGCCGTCGCGGCCCCGTCCCTCCGGACCTCGCTGCTGCCGCCTCTCCGCCCACGCCACCCCGTCCCCACTATTGTCCGAGTGCGTGCGTCTCCGCGTCGTGTCCGTGTCTCTCCGCGTTGTGTCCGAGTGTCTCCTCGCCGAGTCCGAGTGTCTCCGCGTCGCGTCCGAGTCTGTTTCACTTTGGTCCCAAGAATCCCAAACGCCGTTCTCCTGCTGCTGCCGCTGCTGCTGCTGCTGCTTCTCCTGGTGCTGCTCACCGGCCCAGAATCGAGGAGTTGAACCCGGTGTGGGTGGGTGGGAGGGTGTGTGGGTGAGGTACAGGGTTTGGGGTTGGGGGGGGGGCAGGGTGTAGGGTCAGGGTTACGGGTTAGGGGACAGCAGTGCAGGGTATGGGTTCAAGGGCCAGGGAAGGGGGTCAAGGGTCAGGAGTCCACATTTGTGGTTAGGGGTCAAGGGTTTATGTTTTGGGGGTTAATGGGATGAAGGTCACGGATGCGAGGTTTAGGGCCAGAGGGTCCGGAATTTGGGGTCAGGTTTAAGGTTCGTGATTATGAGTCCAGAATTTAAGGTTAAGGTTGGGGTTACATTTTGGGGGGTTATTGGTACAAAGTTGAGACATGGGGTTTAAAGATCAGGGTCAAGGGTTAATGGTCATGAGTGGGGGATTCAGGGTCAAAATTGGCATCCGGGTTTGGGGTTCAGGCCGGAATGTGGGTGGGGGAAGCGGGGAGGGGGAGGGGGCAGAGGGGAGGGGTGCAAGGGTCGGGGGAGAGGGAGGGCGGGAGGCAGAAAAACAAACCAAAGGAAATAAAACAAAAATGGGCAAAAATCAACGGCAATTTAAAAAGAACAAAAATGAAAGCTACAAGACAAAGAAAAGGGTGAAAATGAAAACTAATTTGAAGATGGTGGAGTAGGAGAGGGAAGAGAAGAGAACAAGGATGAGGATGAGGAGGATGATGGGCTGGAACATCTGTGGGTCAGGTCGGGGTCAGGAGGGGCAGGAGGGGCAGGAGGGGCAGGAGGGGGGGGGGACATAAGGAAGCCCCAAGTTATGTCGGACATGCAGATGGGAGGCTGACGTGAGTGAGCACGCCACTCGCTCACTCGCTCGCTCGCTCCCGAGACACCCAGGTGAGGAGTCACGGTGAGGGTGGCGAGTGAGTCACTGTAAGGAGCCATGGATTTGGGTTAGAGGTCTGGCGGGAGGTCTGGTGACGACCTAGATTAGAGGTCTTAGTGGTTTGTTTGGCGAGTGGCCAGGTGAGACATCTGGTGAGTGGTCTGTGATAACCTGGATTAGAGGTCTTAGTGGTTTGTTTGGCGAGTGGCCAGGTGAGACATCTGGTGAGTGGTCTGTGATAACCCGGATTAGGAGAATTATTGATTTGTTTGGCGAGTGGCCAGGTGAACGGTCAGATGAGAGTTTGAGTGAGGACCCAAGTGAAGAAAGGCCTGGCGATGACCCAGATAAGGGGTCTCATGATTTGTCTGGCGAGTGGCCAGGTGAGACATCTGGTGAGTGGTCTGTGATAACCCGACTTAGGAGAATTATTGATTTGTCTTGTCAGTGGCCAGGTGAGCGGTCTGGTGACAAGGTCAAGTAAGGACCCAAGCGATGGGTTTGGCGAGTTAAAATTCTGCTGAGGAGCGGCAGTCCAGGTGAATGGACAAGATGAGCAGTCAGGGTGAGTACCCATCTGGAGTGCGGGGAGGATTGAGGGGAAGAGTGAGATGATGGGTCAAGTCTCAAGTCAGGTGCAAAGTGAGGTGAGGCATCAGCCCGAGTGAGTGAGCAGTGAGGTGAGGAGTGGAGTGGGGAGGAGAGGGGTGAGTGGCTGAGATGTCATCGGTGCTTAAGTCAAAAAGTCAAAGTGGTTTCCCACTCAAGTGAGCGTGGGGCAGCGTTCATCTCCCATTAATAACCCTGGAAATTCCACGTTCCTATGGCGGGGACAAATAATTCAACGGGACAACCACTGTTGACTTTCAAAAAAGTGGAACTCATTGTATCGACCACTGTGAGCGTCCATGTACGCGCTCCGGGGAGACGCACACGTATCTAAATGCACACAAACACCCATGGAAACTTACACAAAATCAAAGATCCCCCGTATAGCCTTTAACAGCCTGTCAGGGTTAGTGCTGTTAAAGGGTTGCACCTCTTAAGGCCAAAAGAGCACGAGAGGGGGTGGGTGGCCAGAATCACGATTCCAGGCAGCCTTTGTTTCCCTAGTGACAATGTTTACACATCGCAGCAGATACTCATATGGAGGCCAAATGTCCATAGAAAATGATAATGATCCGGGTCTCGTTGACATACTCGTCAATGGTTATCACCTTGGGTGGGAATCGAACTCGGATCACTGGATTCGTAGCGCAGCGTGCTAACCACGACACTACCTCTCCCCACACCTACACAAGACAAGATCCACCGTATAGCCTTAACAGATTGTTGGGGCAAGTGCTCTTAGTGTGTCCATATGAAGGCCGCCACAGCACACGAGGGGGTGGGTGTGGCCAGCACCACCACACTCGGCCAACTTTATCTCCCTCGTGACGATATTTACACACCGCATTAGGCACTCATTTGAGGCCGAGTCGACCTAGGGGAGGCCCAGGACCGCGAGTGGGAATCGAACTCGAGTCGCCGGGTTCGCAGCGCAGCACGCCAACCCACTACGGTACCTCTCCCCACACACACGGCCACACACGGCCACGTGGACACATGCACAGGCCACGCGGCACTCCCCGCACCTGGTTGATGGCGGAGGGCGGCGTCTGATCGTCGTCCCTCCACATGGAGGAGGAGGAGGCGCCGTCGCCCCCCCCTCCGGCCGCCCCTCCCAGCGCCGTCGCGAACGTGCGCAGCTCCCTGCGGAAGTCGCGCATCACGGCGCTCAGCAGCTGCGCCTCCCGGCACGGCCCGGGCCCCGCTCCGGCCACGACTCCGACGGCTCCCGGCGCCGCCAGCCGCTCGGCCTCCCCGATGACGCGGTCCACCGTGCGCGCCAGCCGCTCCGCCTCGCGCCGCATCCCGGCCACGCGCGCGTACGCCGCCAGCACGTCGAGCCCAGCGCCGGGGGACAGGCGGCAGCACGTGACCTCCGAGCCCGCCGCCGCCTCCCCGTCCCCTCCTCCTCCTCCGCCGGCGGCGGCCGTCGTCGCCGTCGCGGCAGCCTCGCCGTCGCCGCCGCCGCCGCAGCCGCCGGGCCCGGCGCCGCCCGTCGACGCCGGGGGCTTCTCTCCTCCGGCCGTGGTGGCGTCGCTCTCCCCTCCGATGGGGCCTTCGCGAGCGCGGCGCGGGGGGCGGCCTTCGTCGCCGTCCATCTCCGCGATCGTGGCGTCCCGCGACTGCCCGCCCGGCACCACGGCCGTCGCCGCCGCGGCCGCCGCCGCCGCCTCCTCCTCTTCGCGCCGCTGCAGGCTGGTGGCCAGCAGCCGGTTCTCCTGCTGGAGGCGCAGCACGGCGCCGCTCAGCTCGCTCAGCTGCTGGCGTGCGGCGCGCAGCTCCTCCCGCACGGCCGGGTCCCCCTGCGGCCGCCGGTCTTCGCCCGCCGCCGGTGCCGTCCCCCGGCCCTGCTGCTGCTGCTGCTGCTGCCGATCGTCGGGGTCGGAGGTCACCGTTCGCGGGGCGGGCGGCGCCGCGTCGGTCACGGCCATCTCGTCCTGGGAGGCCCCGGCGGCGCCGTCTCGCTCGCCGGGCGGACCGGCAAGGCTGCCGCCGCCGCAGCCAACACCGGTGCGCGCGTCCTCCAGCTCGGCCTTGAGGCCCCGGTTCTCGATTTCCAGCTCCACGATCTTCCGGCCCAGGATGTTGGCCTCCTCCTCCAGCAGCTTGAGGCGCAGCTTGAGCTCGGCCTGGCGCGAGCTGGGCGGTCCGCCGGCCTCGCCGAGCGCCGGCTGGCCGTCGAGTTCGCCGTAGAGCGCGCGGTAGCGCTGCAGCTCCCCCTCGGAGCGGTCGCGCTCCTTCCCCACGCGCGCCAACTTGCGCCGCATCAGCACCGCCTCCTCCTTGGCGAACTGCAGCTGGCACCGCAGGTCGGCGCTGTCCTCCTGCGTGCGTGCGTGCGTGAGGGAGCGGTTGGAGGTTGGAAGAGGGGATTTGATGGGGGGGGGGGGCAGAGGGCAGGATCGGTGAGCGGTGGCATGGTGTGTGGGGAGGGAGGGGGTGAAGATACACTCCAGGCATGCATTGAAATGTATGTCTCAAGGGTAAAAGGTCATCAACAATGAGCAATCGATTGCAGGGCTGCACCTTTGACGTTTTACTAACAGCTGGGCTGGCGAATGTCGATAGATTTGGGCAGGTTCAAAATCACCATTGCCATATCTCAGTCTATGAAGGCCTACCCAAGGCTTTGCCATCTCACTAAGTACTGCGATGCGACAGTCCACCTACTACCACCTGCACCACGAGCTGGTTTCACCGCTGCATCTCCTTGGTGGAGGGCCTCTCGTTTCTTCTAGCACGAGAGGATGACCACCACCGCTGTGGAGATGGAGCGACGAATTCAGCTCACGTGCAGCAGCGAGGTGGTCGACGTGCATATCCCCGTGTCTTTGTGTCTCCGTGAGCTCTCGTGGCGTCTCCACAAACATGCGTCTCTGTTGCCGCGTGCATCCATCTCGGATTGTCGCCAGAAATATTCACGCATCTCCACTTGTCTCCATGATGTCTTCCTATGTAATCTCGTCTCCGTGTCTTGCTACGAGCTTATACGTTTCTCTGCACATCTGCCAGTGCCTCCACACGTGCCTGCATGTCAGCATACATCTCTATGCGTCTCCCTGTCTCTGTTTCATCTGTATGTGTCCGTGTGTATCCGCGTGCCTTTGAGTGTCTCTCTCTGTGTGCGTCCCTGTGCATACCTGTGCTGGGGACTTCTTGTCTGCTTTCTGCGGCTCCCGGCTCCGTCTTCGCAGGGAATTCTGGAGGACAAAAATAAATCGACGACAGATTTCCTCCACATTTCCCACGGACATCTTATGCCGTCTCACCGCCACAACTGCGCACACAGGCCCTCACATTCCCCGTGCTGTTTGGGCCTTCACGTTTGTTGGTTTTGTGAAGGCCCAAGCAGGTTGGCAGGAGGTCCACGGGGGGGGTATATAAACACTTCTGCCTCACAGCAACAAGGGCCTGGCTTCGATTCATGACTCGGGTCACCTCCGGCCTGTGTGGCTTTCCCTTCTGGTTCTCCAATTTCCTCCCCATATCTAAAATTAACCCGAAATTCATCTGCTATTGGCCAAATGTCTACAGTGCTGAAAAACGACCTGCAAATTGCACAATTTGGGGGTCACACACAGCGGCAACATCGGGCCCCACAAAAATAAACTTGGAAGAACCCTCCTGCAAAAAGGGTCTTGAGGGGAGGCAGACACGTGGGCGAAGCTATGAAACAGGATGGTGGGGGTAGGGTGGGGGTAGGGTGGGGGTAGGGTGGGGGGGCTAACAGGGAACACACAGGCTGTGACGGTGCCGTCATCTCTGTTGTCAAACTTGGCACCGTCGTTGCTGGGAACGGCCCCTCTCGGCCGTTACCCCCCACACGGTCACATGTGCGGCCACTCAGCCAAGAACAAAGACAAAGATACCCCGTAAAGCTTTGAGCAGACCGTTGGGGCAAGTGCTGGTAGCGGGCCCCGATTAATACCGACCGGTCGACAAGGCGCACGAGGAGGTAAGATTGCCAATACCATTGCCCAGCCACCTTTCTCTCCCTCCGCCAATGCCGATGTTTGCACACTGCGCTAGGTACACATTTAAGGCCGAGTCAATCTCGAGGAGCCCCAGAACCGCTTGCGATATTTTTTCGCGGATGTTGGCCATGAGCAGGAATGAATTTGGGTCGCCGGGTTCATGGCACAGCGGGCTAAGCATTGTGCCACCGCTCCCCACACATGCTATCGAGACAACACACACACACAGAAATCTTAAATGCCAGCCAGCCACACACACATACACTATCCTCAACCTCAATGCCACAAACACAGGCACAAAGGGTGGGTGGCGATGTTTACACATCGCACCAGTAACTAGTTTGAGACCGAGTCGACCGACCGAGGGGAGGCCCAGGACCAGTCCAGATAGAATCGTCGCTGGCGTCGTTGGCTGTGAGCGAGGATCAAACTCGGGTCGTCGGGTTTGTAGCTTAATGCGCCAACCGCTACCCATTGATTCACACATGCACACACACACACTCGTACACAATCACACACACACACATTTACACAAGGTCACACACATGCACGCGTTGGTCTACACACACACACGAACGCACACGTTCATGCATATCGCACATTCACACGCCAAAGACAGAGATCCCCCATAAAGCCTTCACCGACTTTAGAGGGCAAGTGCTGTTGGCGCGCACCTATGAAGGTCGGCACGGCACACGAGGGCTTGGGTTGCAAAGACCACGCCTGGCCGCCTTCGTCTCCCTGATAGCGATGTTTACACATCGCACCGGGTACTCATTTCAGGCCGAGTCAACCTTGGAGAGGCCCAGAACCGGTTCAGAAAATCGTCACTGGGTGTTGGCCATAGCACAGCGTAGCTCTACCCGCTGTTCCACTGCTCATACGCCACCGCTAACCTTTCCGCTATAGACACACACTACCCCATGCTTGCATACTATGGACACACAGCCACACACAGCCACACACACAAACCCTTAACCCTGCCAGCCACACACGCCCTAACCGCTCTTTGAGCACTGTATTTGGTCAGTAGGGATGCATGAAGGAGTGTGGACGATTACTTGTGTGCACAAGTGTACGAGTGTGCTTAGGGTTTGTACAATCAGTGTGTGTGTGTGATGGGGGGCGGGGGCGAGTGGTGGTGCAGTGGTTAGCACGCTGTGCTACGAATCCCGGCGAGCCCAGTTTAATTCGATTCCCACCGATCAGGGCCAACATCGGGGAACGAAAATATGAACCCGGTCCTGGGCCTCCCCTACATTTACTCAGCCTGAAATGAGTCACTGGTGCGTAAAGATCAGCACTGGTGGTGGGGAGACAAAGTGGGCCCAGGCCGTAGTGTTGGGTCAGCCACTCCCCCATCGTGTGCCCTGTTCACAAATATCACTTGCCCCAAACACTGTCAAAGACTATACAATGCATCTTTGTCTTTGTGTGTGTATACGGGAGAGGATGAATGAGTGAGTGTGGAAATATATGAGCACGTGTTATATGAGCGTTAGTGCATTCTGTACGCGCTGTGTGAATATGAGTGAGTGTGAGTTGTCTGTGTATGAACGTGTATGTGCATATGTATGGGGAGCGGTGGTGCAGTGGTTAGCGCGCTGCGCTACGAACCCGGCGACCCGAGCTCGATTGCCGCTCACGGCCAACACCACCGGTGACGATTATTTGAACCGGTCCTGGGCATCCCCTAGGTCGACTCGGCCTCAAATGAGTACCTGGTGCGGTGTGTAAACATCGCCACTGGGGAGACAAAGGCGGCCGGGCGTGGTGCTGGCCACCCACCCCCTCGTGTGTATGATATGAGCATGGGTAATATTGAATGTGAGTGCAATCTGCACTGGCTGCGTGAGTGCTGAACGAGTGTCATCGAGTCGTGCGTGTGTGCGGAGTGTGAATGAGTGTACTGCACAGTCTGTTCAGGCTGTACGGGGTGGGGGGGGGGGGATCTTTGTCTTCATGTACTGCAGACACGAGCACGTGTCTACGACTGTTCGGGCTGTGCGAGTGTGAGTGAGTGTACTGCACAGTCTGTTCAGGCTGTACGGGGGGGGGGTCTTTGTCTTCATGTACTGCAGACACGAGCACGTGTCTACGACTGTTCGGGCTGTGCGAGTGTGAATGAGTGTACTGCACAGTCTGTTCAGGCTGTACGGGGGGGGTCTTTGTCTTCATGTACTGCAGACACGAGCACGTGTCTACGACTGTTCGGGCTGTGCGAGTGTGAGTGAGTGTACTGCACAGTCTGTTCAGGCTGTACGGGGTGGGGGGTCTTTGTCTTCATTTCATGTACTGCAGACACGAGCACGTGTCTACGACTGTTCGGGCTGTGCGAGTGTGAGTGAGTGTACTGCACAGTCTGTTCAGGCTGTACGGGGTGGGGGGGTCTTTGTCTTCATGTACTGCAGCCACGAGCACGTGTCTACGACTGTTCGGGCTGTGCGAGTGTGAGTGAGCGGGTGTCATTGTCCGGCAAATCTGCTTTGCAGCAGCTGGCTCCATCCCCATTCGCAGACGCCGCCTGAAAACCCCCACAACAGACGCAGACTCCCATGGCGTCACGTTACAGTCATCCACACACACACACGCAGTGACACACACACACACACGTGTAGTCACACACATACACACACACACACGTACACACACGCAGTGACACACACACACAGTGACACACACACACGCAGTGAAACACACACGTGCAGTTATACACACACGTGCAGTTATACACGCACACGCAGTGACACACACACACACGTGCAGTCACACATGCACACGCAGTGACACACACACGTGCAGTTAAACACACACACGCAGTGACACACACACACGCAGTGACACACACGTACACACGCAGTCACACTCACGCAGTCAGACACACACACACGCAGTCACACACACATACAGGCAGTCAGTCACGCACACATACAGGCAGTCAGTCACACACACACATACAGGCAGTCAGTCACACACACACATACAGGCAGTCAGTCGCACACACATACAGGCAGTCAGTCAAACATAGGGACACGCGGTAAAGACGCACAACGGAATCACGCACAGCAGCAAACTGTCGAACTCAATTGAACAAAGGCACGCACACACACATTTGCGCATTCATATACAGAGTCACATGGACATTAATGCACACATATCTGCGCAGTCGTTCACAGACTCACATGTTCATATACACACATTCATATACACACATGCACTCATTCATATACACATGCACACATTCATACACACACTCGCACACATTCATATACACACACATTCATATACACACATGCACACATTCATATACATACATGCACACATTCATATACACACATGCACACATTCATATACACACACACATTCATATACACACACATTCATATACACACACACACATTTGCGCATTCATATACAGAGTCACATGGACATTAAGGCACACATATCTGCGCAGTCGTTCACAGGCTCACATGTTCATATACACACGTTCATATACACACACGCACACATTCATATACACACATGCACACATTCATATACACACATGCACACATTCATACACACATGCACACATTCATACACAAACATGCACACATTCATACACAAACATGCACACATTCATATACACACATGCACATATTCATATACACACATGCACACATGCATATACACACACTCTAACACATTCATACACACACATGCACACATTCATATACACACACACATGCGCACATTCATGCAGAGTGACGCGTTTCATACACAAAGGGTCACGCACACAAAGACAAAGGTCACCCGTGTAGCGTTCCACATCGCGCTAACCACCATCCCACCAGTGCACCCCGCACACAAAGGCCCCCCTCTCCACCCCCATTCATCCCCCCCCCCAGCCAGCCCGTGCAGCTCTACACAGACGTTACAGACTGGTGGTGGGGCGAGTGATGGTCGTGAGCACACGACACGTGTGCCGATATTTCAAACCCACCACCGCCACCACCGCCACCACCGCCACCACCACCGCCACCACCGCCGCCAACACCGCCACCAGCACCGCCACCACCACCACCACCGCCGCCGCCACCACCGCCACCACCGCCACCACCGCCACCACCACCACCGCCGCCACCGCCGCCACCACCGCCACCACCGCCACCACCACCGCCACCACCACCACCACGTCCGCTACTACTTTTTAGGCCGAGCCGACCGAGGTGGGAAGGTGCAGCACC